ATATTATAATAATATATCAATTACTAGTAAAATATATATATATATAAAATTTTAAATTTTTACTTAAGAGAATATTTTAATAAAATATTAATATAATCTATAAAATAAAACTATAAAAAAATTTTATATACTTTTTTTTACTAATAGCTATTATATTATTTTTAAATAATTTTTATAAAATATTTATTTATAATATAATTATTTACAGAGTAATTATTATATTATAATTAAATAGTTATTATTATTTTTTTTAAATAATATTAATTTTTATAACTCAATAATTATATATTAATTTAATAGTTAATATTATTATATAAAATTAAATATGTTAATATTTAAAAATTTTATTTAATTTATATAATAAAGTTTTTAAATATCTTTTTTTTAATTATAAAATAAAATATTTATAAATTTTTTATTAATATAAATAATCTTTAATTTTATATAATTTTTTATTTTTATTTATATATTTATTTATATTTAATAATTTATATTTATTAGTTATATAAGCTTTAATATTAAAGACTTTTATAAAATAAATTATATTTAATTTATTTATAATTTAGTTATTTTTATTAATTTTAATTATTTAATTAATTATTACTTTTTTATTATAAAATTTAATAATTTTTAATTTCTAATATATTTATTTTAGATAATATTTAATTAAGTAAATTAGTTTTTTTAATAATAGTTATTTATTTCTAATTTTTTAACTATAAAAACTAATATTTTATATTTTTTAGATTTAAGTTATTATATTAATTATTAATAATTTTTATTTAAAAATTAATTTTATCAAAATTATAAATATTTTTATTTATATTTTTATATTATTATATTATATTTTTTATTTTTTAAAACTTTTTTATATAATTTATTTATAATTATATTTATAATAATTTTTAATTTTTAATTTTTTATAATATATAATAAATTAAAATTATTTTATTTTATAGTAAATTTAATTTAAATAAAAAATAATAAATATATTATATTTTATATATTTTAATTTAAAGAAATTAATTTTTTTTATTTATAATTATTATTTATTAAATTAAATTTTTTATACAAGTTAATTTTTAATATTTTAATTAAAAGTTTAATTAAATAATTTATAAAATATAAAATATTAAATAGTTTAATAATAATAATAATATATATATATATAATTTATTTTTTAATTTATAATAATATTAAATTTTCAATTTTAATATTTTTCAATTATAGATAATAAATTAAACTTTATCTCATATATTTATGATTCAGAAAAATGTCTGAGATCTCTTTTATTTATAAATATTATTCATTAAACTAAAGATTCTTTTGACTTGTCTAGTTTTATATGTTCTGGGTAGAAGAAGTCTCCTTTCTTGATTTAAAGCTTGATTTTCTATGGTTGTTGAGAAATTCATATTTGAATGTAGATAATTTGCTGAGAGGGAAAAGGTGGCCAACTTAGTGATGTGGTCAACTCGATGATCGCTTACAGAGTGAATTTCAGTTTAAGGGCCCTTCCAACCGCTCATGGTTCCGGCCAATCCTGTTGACCAGCATTTCCTCGGGAGGTTGCGGAAATTCTTCACCTATAGTTAACGTCACATATTCCTGGGAACCTAGGTAAATACCCATCCCTTAAAAGTATTTTTGCACCACGATAAAATCATGTCTACAACGCGGGAATCGCGTGTGCCTGGCCGGAAGTGCTAGTTCCCAGTTCCAGAGACATGATCATTATCCGCCAATGATAAACGATGCACGGAATATGATATATCAAGGATGTTTTCATGGGCCTGGCTTAGTTCACGAATCCAAAAAGAGCTGTAAACAGAATGGGAATCATCACTATTTGATTGATATACCAATTTCCTTCTGTAAAATATATAAATTAAAAAAAAGGGAAGGAAAATAAAGAAGAAAAAAGTAAAGGAATTGATTTGGAAGAATGAATTTATCAGAAACGGAGCCCTTATCCCATTCCTTTTAATACTTGGTCCTTGTTTCACCTTAGGTCCCTCCGGATACCTCCCTATACCATCAAAGAGAGGATCTTCCATTTTTAATCCCTAGTAGCTCATTAAAAGGACACACAAAAACTCCCGCTCACCGTCCCATCAAAACATCTCTCACCCGCTCTCACTCAATCCCCCTACGAGGACACCTCAGCAGCCTTCCGCGCTTTGGCACCTCTAAGCTTCTTCTCCGGAACCTCTTTCTTCGGGCGTTGCGACATTCGAATGGCGCTGGCACGCCCGACGGCCTCTGCGCGGAGATCAGCGCGATATCCGCTCTTGGCAGCAGTGCTGGCGATGCCTTTGTAGATCCTATAGCACAATTTCCGCATCAGCCAGGTTCATTCCATTTCTTTTCACAAAAAGAAAGACGCATAAAGTCCTCCCAGCGCCGAACTTCGTAGTTGTGTTTCCAATTCCCTTTTCTTTTCTTTTCTTTTCCTTCTTTCTATCTTCGAATATATCAGGATTCAAGCTTACTTTCTGTTGGTAGCGGTGGAGCTGTAGGTATTGGTGGCGGTACTGGAGGCGGGCTTGTGGATGGTAGCGGGTTTTTTGGTGGTGACGGCAATGGTTCCCTCCTCAGTGGGTTGGATTCCAATGGCCTATAAAGGTTTATCTCATAAATCAATGCCAATCCAATCAATGCCATTTGCATAACCGATGGTGACCCCGATTGTATTTCTTTATTTTCACTTTTCTCCTAGCTTTGTCCAGAATATCCCGTACCTTGCAGTTTACGAATCCGGCATACTAAAGTGTATAGGTACCAACGTCAGTTTCTTCCCCAGGAATAAGAATAAACTCGCATTGTTCAAGATAAATAAAATAGCACACCTTTCGCGAGTGCTTGTTGACTAAGTTAAGAGGGTCGCGGGAGAATTGAGCACCAGCACACTTCACCAGGAACGAGTTCTGGGAGCCTGTTATCAACCCAGTCCATCAGTTAGCGACGATTCAGCTGGTGTCTAGCTGGCTTTCCCAACGGCGGAGAATTCAACCAAAATGACGTACGGGTAATCTCCCAAACGAGGTCGTCCGACACATTAGGTTTGCCTACGTACGACATGGTGGGCTGTGGAGTGAGTCGAGTCGAGTTGGAATATATGACAGACAGTTTGGAGAGAGTCTTGGACTTGACTTGGTAGACTTGATATATTCGACTGCCTTTTTGCTGCCAGAGACTCCTCACTGCGGCAGTATTTTATTAGTTGTTGTGTAGCACTTGGTCGGTGCCCGGCTGCCAATACTGCACTTTGCCTCTTTCGGCTCGCTAACATCTCCCGTTTGGGTCTAGACCCGTAAGATGGATGGAGCTACTGTGGTTCCGGGACAGTGGTCACATGATGTATAGCTGAGTTAGCAGTATATATGATCGCCCCGCTAACTTCGAGCTATTCTTGAGTTCGGCTGAGAGGGACAACATCGGAAGTCGACAAGAGGAGGATATTATACATAGACAACAACAGCAACAATATGCTATCTGATACACTCTGAACAACAAGGGGCCACCGGCAGCCAGACAACAGACAACACCCACACAGGCAACTTCCCGCCGCCAGAACATGTGCATCCTGCGGCATCTGGCACACAAAGCCCCATATGAGCTCGAGATAGCCTCACTCTACTATACGTAGCCATTCTTTTATTATTCTTTTATAATACAGCGGTTCCTTTCTAGTTACCCTACAACGAGTGCGAATTTCCTATTACAATCATCCACGCTCTGTTTGCGCTAAAACCTCTCAATCCACCCTTACCAATACCCGCCGTATCCGACACAACCACAAACAATATACATGATGTCTTATCTCCTATACTCCCTCACCTTCCTCTTCCTTATCACAGGCACAGGTAAAATGTCTCCCCCCACCCCCAACCCCTTTCCAAACCACCATCCACTAACAATCCCATCATAGCCCTCTACTTAACCCGCACCCACTGGCTCCCCCACCTCCCGCTACCCAACTACCTCTACTCCCGCCTCCCCACAAGTTTTACCGGCGACATCGAAGCCGGCCTCACCTCCTCCGATTTCGATCTATCCGCCAACGTTGACGAAGGTGATTCGCGCGGCGGCCTCGACGCAGCGGGCAAACGGGAGGTGTTGAAGATCATGAAGCGCAGACGGGTGGATTTCAATGAGGCGAGGAGATTGTATATGCAACAGAGATTTGTGAAGAATAATATTGGGCCCGATGGGAGGCCGAGGGATCCGAAATTTGTGTCTTTCTCGTGAGGAAGGAGGTTACTGGTGGAGGATGTTGGTATGTGAACATTGGCATTGACATTGGTATTGGTATTGGTATGGCATTGACTTTCGACATTGGGCATGGGATGGAAGGCGGCTTGGCATGTATTTCTCCTTTTTTCCTTTCTTTTTCATACGTATATATACATCTCTGTTTTCAGCGTATGGATGACCGTTTTCAAATTTCCCCTCTCCCGTTCTCGCCTATATACCTATAATACACATCCGCTAACCGTCACTTATTTCACTCATGCTTTCCTTAACTCTATGCTCCCTTCAACCGTTTTGTTTCCCTTCTCCACTATTTCTCGTCATGGAAGCGATTGGTATTTCCTGTTGTCATGTTACGTGTGTTCAATCTAGCTCCCCTTCCGCTATATTTCCCATGTGATCAAGTAATGCTGTCTCACTTTTCTCTCTTAACTGTCGTATGTATAAAGCTTCTGTTTCCTCGCCCGGGTAGCTGGGAATCTTGCATAGTCACACCAATATCAATCAAAATATCACTTATCATCGCTCCTCACCTATTTCGACTTGTGTAGTAGATAGCGGCGAAATATGGTTCACCCTCCCGTCTCCTAACATACCTGACGAGCCAATCGCAAAGGAACCCCGCTCCACCGTACATGCTCCTCGAAATTCTGAGTAGGATATCCTAGGTATTCCTCTATGTGCCGTACAGAGTGCCCTTCTCCAGTTTCATAATATCACATAACTATACATAACCAACCACCCGATCAGCGCCCCCTCACATACCCCGACGGCTGAAAGCCAGGCGGAAGAGGAGGCGGCACAGCACCTGGAGCACCCGCAGCTGGCGGTGACGCAAACCCGGCTGGCGGCGGTTGCCCAAAACGAGGTGGTGGTACAAACCCTGCCGGTGGTGGCCCGCCGTAACCCGCTTGGGAAGGAGGTGGACGCGCGGGGAGGCCTGGGGGTGGAGCAGAGAGGGGTTGAGGCGGGTGATGGGCGTGCGGGGGTGGCGGTCGGTGGTGTTGGTGTTGATGCTGCTGTGGGTGCTGGACGTGTGGGTGCTGGTGCTGATGCTGATGTGGGTATTGATGCGGGTGTTGGGTCGGCGGGATGTGTTGGTTATGCTGATAGGGACCGCCACCGTTGACGATGGGGATTCCCCGTCCGCCGCCAAAGTCTGGTGGGCCTCCTGCTGCGGCTGCGGTGGAGGCAGGGTTCATACCCCGGCCCGCTGGGACGTCGCCGTCGACTGCTGGAGACTGTGCATGTGTCCCTTGTCCGCCGCCCACAAGTTGAGGGGGGAGGGGTTGCGCTTGGGGTTGGACGTTGTGTTTTCTTGCCTGCGCGGCGAGCATGCGTTCGGCCTGGTCGCCGTGTCGTTCTCCCTTGCCGTCTTTCTTGTAGGCGTATTGGACGGAGACTTCCTTGTTCATGAGGTACTGGCCGTTCATGTTTGCTATGGCGTCGTCCGATGCTTCAAAGTTGGAGAAGGAGACGAAACCGTAGCCCTTTGAGAGGTTTGCGTCGTCTCGTGCAATCTGCGATGTTGATTCCAGAATTAGTTATCTCGGTCAACAAGTTGAAATAGGAAAGACAAAAAAAGATATTGATACCTTCGGAGCAGATATGAGACTCCCAAACCGGCTGAACGTATCATAGAGGATCTGCTCGGTAACCATGGGGTCAAGGTTCCCGATGAACAGCTCCGCGCCAACCTCGACAGTCTTATGCTTGTCCGCGGACGCCTTGTTAACACGGATGGGCTTCCCGTACAGGCGGACCTGGTTCATGATGCGGGCTGCATATTCAGCGTCTTCCTCACTGATGAACTCGACAAAACCGTAACCCTGGTGTGTCTGGGTGACGCGGTCCTTGGGCAGGTGGACATTGACTATGCGACCAGCTTGCAACATCAGCTCCCAGACCAGGCTGTCTGTGACGCGCTCATCTAGATTACCGATATACACGGTCGCCTCCTTATCTTGCTCCCTGTGAGAATAACAATGTGTCAGCTCCTTGCTGCTAAAGAATGTGATCTATGCTTGTTTGTGCAATCGGAGGACATACCAATGCCGGACTCCAGCCATGGTCAGCAGATACGAGCTGAGAGATCTGTGATTCTGTTCCTAGGGGAATTCAGTCGGACGAAAACAGTTGGATGTAGATCTCAATAGGGCAAACGGTAAAACCGTAAGTACTCATATACAATAGTTGCTTGTTGTCGAGTCGTGTGGGTAATTCGGGTTGCATATTTGAATGGGTAATATATTTCTTCTGTCGTTGCATTCTGTCTCTCTCGGCAAAACCTTTGTTCCGCTCCATCACCATCTGAGCTCTTTTCCTTTCAGTAACGAACAACTATTTAATTTAACCATTGAATATATTTGTATACAGCAGCCACAACCAACAAGTCAACGTCTATCCTACATATCTGAGCCATCTTATCTGATATACAATCCCACTACTCTAGACAAAATGGCCCAGTTCTCCGAAGAGACCAAGGTAAACCATCCCATTCCCGCCCTCTTTCATACTACAGAAGACCTTGGAACTAACCCTCAAATCTCTCTCTATAGGAACGCATTTCCAAGGTCATTGGTGTCACTAGAGTGGCTATCCATTAGTGAGTTGATTTTGTCCGGAAGGGCTTCCTATAACCTACTGACCATACCCGTCACCCTGTTGCAGCGGATATTTACCGTTGATCATCTACCTCGGTGAGGATACCCACCATCTCCTCAATTATCTATCTTCTTCTCTTGCCTGCAGCCCTGAACATTCAACTAACATGATATCAGGGTATACATATACCGAGCCGCGCCCACAACTCTTCAAGTACTTACATTCTACCATCCCCCATATCTAGTGTATGAGAAGCGTCACTGACTAGGAACCGCATCGCGTCCAGACTTTTCTCTCCCCTCGCATAAGTTCAGCCAAATTGATATATGAAAATGACATGGGACTCTGGGTGGTTAGAGGGGGAAGAACTGGCGTTCAGCGTTTGTCGCATGATAGCAGCAATTAAACCAGGAAGTCTCTTCATATCAGCATGGGAATCAGAACGAGCAAGCATAACGCAAGCAGGACGGGTTCTGGGTGCTGGGCACCAGGGATTCCTCGATTTCTTTCTCTAACGTTGGAAGCTTGTACTGTATATTAGATCTCTCTCTTTTGTTATGTTACTTTGCTATGTTATTTTACTGTTTATGGAGAAATCAAAAGGTACAAAAGGTATCATTTACCAGTTTCAGTTAACCAGCAATTGATTGATTGATTTTTTTTTTTTTATTCGTGACTTGACGAGGATGAAAAGAGTTATACATGTATATTAACATTTGCCAGCTGCTTTCGATACTAGTAAGACTGTATAGCAGTTGTAGAGCATCGTAGCTATCGCAGCTCTGTCGTTCTTGCTGCTGGTATGTGCTGTCCTTGGAAAATTATTTATTTAGCGTCGCGAGCATCAAAATTTAAGATTCAGAAAAACTTCCCGAATATTTCCCACTTCATCACTTCAACCTCAAAATTCCCACCGCCACAACCACCACATCCCCCCTAATAAATAAACAGGCCACTTCGCCTCCCTTCCTCGAGTCGAAGTGTCCTCCAAGGGACCCTCCTCAATAGAGTCCATGAGTGATATCCATGGTCTCTCCCCATCCGCTGTCGAGACAATAGCCGGCTTCACAGCCGGCATTGTTTCAACCCTCGTCCTCCACCCGCTCGATGTGATCAAGACGAGACTCCAAGGTACTGTTATATTATATCATTTTGCCCTTAGATGTTCCAAGTAAAAACTAAATTCACCTACCTCTTGTCTAGTGGACCGATTCTCCTCCTCGCGCATCGGAAGTTCAATGCGCATTGCCCGCAACATCGCACGCAATGAGGGCGGCTTCGTCGCAGGCTTCTGCCGGGGCCTCACCCCGAACCTGGTCGGAAACTCTGTGAGCTGGGGCTTGTATTTCCTCTGCTATGACAATATTAAAAATTCGTTGCGTGTGCTCCACGGGGATGGGGGGGAGAGGTTGAGTTTATTGGATTACTTTACTGCGTCTGCTACTGCTGGTATGATTTTGTCTCATCCGTTTTTACATTCGCTATATGTATATATGTACATAATAACAGCGCACTCCATTTTAGGCGTGTTAACAGCCCTCGTTACCAATCCTATCTGGGTCATAAAAACCCGCATGCTTTCCACGGGCTCCAATGCCCCTGGCGCGTACCCCTCCCTGGCCGCAGGTTTGCGTGCCATCTACCGCTCAGAAGGGATCAAGGGCTTCTACCGTGGCATGGTCCCCGCTTTATTTGGCGTGAGCCACGGTGCGCTGCAGTTCATGGCCTACGAACAACTAAAACAATACCGCGCCGGCACCACCACCGCACGGCTATCCCCTGCTGGATCATCATCAAGGAACGAGCTTAAATTAAGCAACTCCGACTATCTCCTCACTTCCAGCGCGTCCAAGGTATTTGCGGGCTGCGTCACGTATCCGTACCAAGTGCTGAAAGCGCGGCTGCAGACCTATGATACTATGGGAGCTTATAAGGGCGTTACGGATGCTATTGGGCAGATTTGGCGGCAAGAAGGGGTTTGGGGGTTTTATAAGGGACTGGGGCCGAATTTGTTGCGTGTGTTGCCGAGTACGTGGGTGACTTTTCTGGTTTATGAGAATGTGAGGGCTTATTTTGCCCAGGGCGGAGAACGATAATGGGGGTTAAGGGAAGGATTGAAATGGGACCAATGGTGAGTCAACAAATATCAGACACAGATTTGTCGGTCTACAGGTTAATCCCCAAACCTTTCTGTCTATGCACACCACTCTATTATATGTATTAACTCTTCTACGTCGGGTATATAACCTACCCCTCCCTTCCATCCGAGATAGATTTTAGCTATAGATTATGCGTATAGCAAACGTTCCTCCCTCCCCACGCCATTTTCAACCGTCAGTGATATCCGTGAGATCGGTCAAATAGAATGAATGAAGAAAGACGTCCCTGTCGTTTTATCATTCTCTTGCTAAAAAAGCCCTTCCCAGGTGATCTTCTCTCTAGGTAATACCAGGGACAGAGCGAGATCAAGAAGGTTCACGACAACAGAGAGAAATGCATTCAACTGTAAATATACATGTAATACATATATAAACGTAAATATGTAGCTACGTCAAATTTTGCTATCTATTACCTTATTATCTACAGATGCCATGTGGTGAATCATCAAGTTTTCATAGTAACTTTTCCCCTTTTTTAATCTTCTCACTGGAAAAGCTCTGTATTCCATCCTCCTGCAACTATTTCTCACATACATCGGAGTACTGGAAACACAAAATATATCTCTACAAATATGTGAATCTTTTGAAACAAGTAATGCACCCTGTGTTAAGAATATGCAAGTGACTGCAAAATTTTGAATGCTGGTTGTCGGTTGCTGATTCACAATATTACTCGTGTCTCTTGATCTCTCCATTGCTTATGCCTCTGTGGTTTGCCATCAAACATTCAGAGATTGGCTTCCTGTATATTGAACTGCCCACAACACACAAAGCAACTGTTCACAGCATTCTCCATAACAAGCCTTTTTGATTTTAATAAAAAATAGGTATGCATTTTAATTTGCTGTTGCTTCGCTTCGAAACTGATATATATCTGCCGTCTTTTGACAGCTTTCAACCACGACGAACTGGCTTTCCTCTTATTCAATGCGTATTGATTGGCTAATCTTCCTCAAGAATCCTCCTTGCATAAATACCAAACCCCTCTCCCTGTTCAATCGTCACTGATATCTCTAAATAAAAAAAATGTTGCTACCTGCCATTTGAGCCACTTGTGATGCTCTTTTTCAATTCAGTTTTATGCCTATTGCTCTTGACTCCCTGAGGCCGATGAGCTGTGATAAGGTTGTACATACATTGATTACACGGATACATTGACAGGATTGACACCAGGAAAAAATATTTCAATTGGGGCTTGCCATGCATGCATCTACGTCGGTAGGATCCGGAAAAGAAGAAAAAGAGAAGAAGAATAAAGAGCATGAAAGAAGCAAAAAGATGTGCTGTTCTTGCGACTTTGATGAAACGGCCCTTTTGTTGTTGTTTCATTTTCCATTGTTCATGTGGCTTCAACATGAATTCGGACATTGAGGAGGATTATCAATGGGTATCAGAGGGGTGGGTTAACTGCAGGTTACTGTAACCCCACCCCCAAATAACTCGGACATTTGGGTGGCTCAGTGACTCAGTCACTCGTATCTCTCAGATATTACCTCCCTTTCCTACCCCTCTCCTCCTCCTCTTTTTCTTATTATTTATCTATTTATTTATTTTTAAGAATAAAAAAAAAATAACCTCCAATCCGACAGTTTCAGGATTTTCGTTATGCCGTTGGCCTCGTCATGAACCCCACTGGCGTGGTTAATACTTTTACATGCATGCAACTACCAACAGACCAGCTAGACGGAACGATAAGAACACGAGAAAGCAATCGAGGCCTCCGCTTGTGCGATGCAGATAAAGTTGCAATCTTGGTCCATGCTTACTACGCAATTTATGCAGACGACGATTCGCGAGGCATCGCGATCGAATGGGCAAACAGCCTTTCCTTCGGAAGTGTGCGGGACTACCCGTATCCACTCATCCTGCTAATGCCGTGTAGCGCAGGATATGGATGTGTGAAACAGGGCAGTAATGTGCTGAGGAGCTGCAACTTGCAACTCCCTCCGTATGGAGATGGGGTGTTGCACTGGAAGCACTGGCTACACGGTTGATGTGTCTGGAATATGTATGTTCAATAACGGATTGAAAGGTTCGGACAGTTGGAAATTCTCAGTTATGGATCCAATGCAGCGGTATTTGCTGAGAAGAGAATGTTTTGCCGTCCGACCCCATTTTTAGTAGAAGTAATTAGAGGAGGGGCAACGCCGCAAACCCCTGCTGTTCCCTTATTTCGGGGTTCCTTGGGCCCGCTCAGTGGGTGATCACTCTGAGGTACGCTGCATGTCCCACGTCATCTATTTCATCATCAGACATCAGAGGTGATTCAGAACTCTTTGCGTTGCATGTACAAGCACATACATACATAATTTAACTACAAAGTATCAACTGACAAAATGTTAGAGCATTCTGATCTGTAACTTAACCGTTGCACTGACTAGACTCCATCCACCTTCAGCTTTATTGCAGTAATTTCAATCTCAAGATCCATTTCTCCTCCATGATGGTCCTCTTAATTAGTTATACGCGAAGAATCATTATCAATAAAATATATGCAATTCAGGATATTTTGTGTTTTCGAGTTGAAAAGAATAAGGTTAATGAAACGGGCTAACCACGATCTCATGCTGCAGCCGTGTAAGCACCCCTCCGTTACATCAGAAACCACAGATTTCGAGAAAAAGAAACAAAATATGGTTCTCCTCCAGGGTCGATCACGCTGAACTGTTTCATCGACAGAGCGTAATTAACTCATAACTCTCCCATTTTAGAGGAAGGGAATACGTTTCGTCTCCCAGACCTGGTTGCAGTGCCGGATGTCGCATGACCCAGGAACGAGACGAAGCCCATGAAAATACATTTAAAGAATTGCTTAACCCGACAAAAAACGTCGTTTAGTTAGTTATATCGAGCATGACAAGTGGAGAACAAAAATGGTTTCAAACTATCATAAGATCGCAACTCTGCAAGCAGCGTCTGAACGCTTTGACAATCCACGCCGTCCTCGTAGCCGCCAACTAAGGCAAGACAGGATCTGTTTTTAACTACGCTGATCCATCCATGTGGAGCTACGCAGACAGTGTCATCCATCCTATCACAAGGTCAAAAATCCAAGAAAATGAAGCTCCACCGGAAGCAACAACTACAACAACAACAAAAAAAAAAAAAAAAAAAAAAAAAAACCCTCTCCTCTTGATTCCCGTCTTGCCTCAGAAAGTTGGAACCAAAGTCGCGATTGGGCGAGATTTAGCTTCGGGTCCAGCGACAACTCTTCGTTTCTATACAAATCCACTCCTGAGTCCTAATTGATGAGACAAACGATCGTGCCTGGAAATGAACGTTGCAAGATGATTCCAAATTTCCAATGCAACGGGAAGCATTCTAACTTCGAGGCAACAGATGAAAACCGAGGATCCATGCTTCCAGTTAGTTGTCTAGTTCGTGGACTACTGCTGTAGCTGGACGGGTAGTTAGGGTGGCGGGATGAAACGCACAACACTTGATCTGAGCGGGAGAAGATATGAAAACCCATCAAATATTATTCCCGGTGGTTAAGTTGCAGCAAGGGCATGATTTGTCTCAGGAACTTTTTTTTTATTTATTTATTATTATTATTATTATTATTATTATTCGTGAGCTGGAGTCTGCAGCTTGCAGTTTTGGGGCAGGTCTTACGAAACTAGGTAGCTAACGTTACCTTCCTGTGGGCATGGATGCATGCATGGATAGAGATTCTTATTATTACTTCAAGGCACCTGGATGTAATTTCAGGGTCGTCTGCTCTGTGGTATTTGATATCAGCAACGGGTAATTTTCTCATCGTTGGACGCATGCTCTGAAGTTACGGAGCCCACAACAAAATATCTACCTAGCATTACCGTATGGTAGCTGACGAGATTATATTTCCACGATCAACGATGCTAGATCCAAATTCCACGCACCAGTTTTCTAACAACAAGCGGATGTCAACGGCGAAAAAGTATGACTTTACCCCCGCTTCCAAGCTTGGAAAACGCTGGAGATTCATTGGGTTAGATTGAGTGCGCTGCCTAAGGGGAGGGAGAAAGTAAAGATGTGCACGGTTGCAGCTCGACTAAGGTAACTAACTCTGCCTGACCAGATCCATGAGATTTATTTGTCTTTGCCTTTGGAAAACGACATGATTCAGAGGTGATTTCATCAGTTCATCCCTGGGTTCTCTCTTGATCTCAAATTCAGCAGATGGCCAGCGTCTGCCCGGTTGCAATTGAATTATTTATTACTCCGTAGTACTCCGTCGTATTATTATTATTATTATTATTATTATTATTTCCCATACCATAGCCACATGGAGGGGCACATACCAAGCTTCAAGGCAAAAAAATGCATTATCACCAGCGCCCTTCGACGACAGCTATGTAATGTAGCTTGCAGCCTCTTGACCTTATGCCCTCCGCCCAACCCAACGAATAAAACACCACAAATAGAAATTGACAATTAATACAAGATCATGTACCCTTGCCCGGCATGACCTCACTCCCTAACACAACGCAGTTTGCGCCCACCCAAAGCCGAGCAGATGGAATCCAACCAATTCCAATCCCAGGGCCAGAAAGGTGGAGAACGTAAATCTTCTGCCTTTTGCGATTGCCCTTTTTTCTTTTGGTTGTCTGCAAACCACCACGACCCCTCTTCAACTCTCAGTCATCCTTCGCATGGTTGTTTGATCTTTCATTTTATGTGTGCGACTGGCGTTCAAGTTCTGATGCAGGTGCCTCGGCCTTTCGTGGGCCATCACATCACATCAATCAGTGGGAAAGAAAAATAGATCACATTCCCATGTTTAAAGAGAACCTTGCGAGCTGAAGATCCTCAACGAAGCAGCATCGTTAGGACTAATTGAATATGAGTAATTACCTACCTCAGGCGAACCAATCGATTGGTAATTACAAGGGAAAGAAAAGAATGCCCGTCTATCGCCAGGTGGCCAAGCCAGTCCAGTCCGTCAGTCACCCGAACCACCAAGTCAAAAAGGTTTTCATACCTATTACTTCATTCAACCCTCTCCAGGCCAACTCAAGAACAGAATTTTGATCTGCGGATGATCTCACTATCTGATTTGTTTCTTTTGATAAATAGATCCACGCACCACTCACTCCCCTAATATTATTATGATCATCACTATCACTAGGCTGTTGATTGTTGTTTTTTCTCTTTTTTCCCTTTCTCTTTTTTCCCTTTCACTTTTTTCAATTCTCTGGAGTGCATGTGCATTTTTTTTTTTTGTGTACGCGGTGTTGTTTGTTCAGCCTGAAGCCAACAATGAAACCAAGTGACGCCTTTTGTGTTTCCTATCCATGAGCAACTTCAGCATTTATTATACTTCCGGATTGTGTCTCTTGTGCCGTAGTTACAACTTAACAAATTCCATAGTTCTCTGCCCCTTTGTCCAACGACATACGTCTCTTCCCCCTCTTCTTTCCACCACCATCAAAACGCCCACTACTATGTACTATCCCCACCCATTCAGCCTGACGCAAAGAGGAGAAAAGCGAAAGGACAAACACACCGATTAATTATTCGGGGTTGGTTACGCCACAACGGCACTATGACCATCATCAAGCTCCCGTCCTACACTTACTCCCATAGGGCCTGCTGCATAGAGATAGGCATTGGATGAAGGGAGAAAGGAGGGTGGGTTGGAATATTTCAATAATACTGGGCTTCTGAGTGTTACAGGGTTTCCAGCTATAGCCACAGCTGCAGCTCGAGCTACACACGTTTGCGACGGATATATGAATGACTTTTGCTGTTGTGTGGTCCCTTGTTTTAACTTTTTTTGACACCTCGTGAACGATGATATGCACACGTTTGATTGAGGTCATCTAATAATAATAATAATAATAATAATAATAATAATAATAATAATAATAATAATAGTTATTATTATTAGCGAAACTTGATCCTTTCACCATCCTGCATTGCTAGCAAGGTTCTTCATGACTGGCATGATGATGACAACAGCTGCGTATTAAAATCCATTCATTTTGATGTCAAATGTCACAAGTATCAAAAAATTCTCATCATCAATCAAAGGGCATCAGGGGGATCATTCACACTTATCATCCCTCATTGCAAATACCATATAGCTACTAACCCACAAAAAACTCCCCATCGACTCCTGAAATCGAGATCCATTACATGCCTGGCAGAAAATCTTTCATATCTCCCCTCCTTTCTTCAACAGCTGGTTGATCGATCGATTCTCAAATTATCCCAGCCCGTCATTCCCAAGCGGTCAAGTCAGCAACGAAGCCTGAAGGGCGTGGTCACGGGCTCTTGCCATCTATACAGCTGCAAGCCTTTTATCCCACCCCGGCCCCTCCCCCATTCCACCCTTCCACCTTTCCTTGCTCTCTTCAGATATAACTCTCATCCATAATGCAAAGCCAAAAAGGTAAAGTGAAGTGGGAAACATGAGCAGGATACTAAGGCAGACGGTTTAACTGAACGGGGGCTATGTTGGGGGTATCAAATTTCTGTATAAAAATTTTTTTTTTTTGTGTTTATTTTCAACTGCTTTTCTTTTGGCTTCCATCCTCTCTCTCCTTCTCCCCACCTCTCTCCGTGCCATGTCTCCCATCCCACACGCAACCTCCGGTCATGCTCATCTAGTATATTCACCCGCAGGAACAAATCTCTTCGATCTCTGTCTGCCACATCATGCCATCTCAATAAATAACAAAAGCATCATCAGGTATTCATCGATCTTTCTGATAAAACAAAAACGCATCACACATTCATATCCCTCTGAATAAAAAATCAACATGCATTTTCATACACAGTTGCAAATGGATGCAAGCGAGCCAACACCACCCTCCCCCCCTCTCCTCCACCCACCCCCAAAACACAGTCTTCTCTCTTGCTGTCCTTTGCAAGCCATTTCTCAACAAAATTCTTCCATAGACTGATGTCATCGAATCATTTGCCACGCGAGTCCGTCATGAAACATCCATGGATGGTACAATTCTTCTTCTCCTTTTCCATTTTCCTGGAATGGTCGAAATCGAAATCTCTTTTAGGGATTTTTTTTCTCGACGCCGGGTGGTCGGGAAAAAATTCATAAAAGACATAATTCAGGAATTTTGGGGGTTTTGTTGGATGTCGAAGATAAAAATATAAAATTAAAATGGAAGAGAAGAAAAGGAAGAGCATGAAAAACAAAGGAACGACGCAAGGGAATTTGGGGAAGGAAAAAAAATATTCAGAAACAGAAAAATAAAAAGACAAGAAAAGAAAATTGAACCACCCGATGATGCATCGCATGAATTCGGATCTCCCGTTTGTTTGATAGGCAAAGGCGAAAAATCATATATAAAAAAGGGGGCCGCGCACCACACCTTGCACCGTTGTAAAAGAACAGCGCTTTTTGTTCAACGAGGACGAAGGCGTGCTTTATTTCGTGTGACACATTAGTCTCAATTATCTCATGCTCAATTCCTGACGTTCAATCAAGGTGAGCCATCATTTCATCTTTTGTAAGCGGCGTGAAGTTGTCAATGTCGAGGCCACGGGAAAGCAGGTCGGCACGGGCGTGCGGGGGAATCAACCTATGGTTCAGGGTTGGATTGATAGAGAGTTCTGTGTGTTTGTTAGAAATAAATACTGAAACAGATATACAGTTCAGCCTTACCATGGCGTGAGAAATCAAAAAGGTTGGGAAGTGGTCTGGGAGGGGTATTTGGGTGACGAGAATCCGGCAGACGCGTATTGGGATCCCGAAGCTCATCAAAGAAAGGATGGCACATGGCTTCAATGGCAGAAAGGCGTTGGGTGGGGGTATACTCGAGGAGGGCTGTAATGAGATCAATCGCGTCATGGGAAGCTTTGCGGAAGACCTGATTTTTATTTAAGAAAAATAATAATAATCAATTATCACTGTATCCACTCCATGTTTCTGCCCAGTATTGCCGATTCCTTACCTTGTTGAACGGATGTGGCTTAATCTGCGGGAACTTGTGTTCCATGTAGTTTGGGTTCATAGTCCGAATCTGATCACGGGTCGGGGTGCCAAGCACTTTGATGATCTCTACTAATTGGTCAATGCCCGATTCGCCGGGGAAGAGGGGTTGGCCCAGCATCAGTTCCGCCATGACACAGCCGGTTGACCACACGTCTGTAAAACTTTGTCAGAAGAAACAACATGGCACACGTAATTTGTTTTGATGAAAATTATAATAATAGTAATAACAACAATAATAAATGCTGTGTGCGAGAGCTTACCAATCTTGGTGGTGTAGTTGGTGGCACCAAAGATGAGTTCCGGTGAGCGATAATAGCGAGAGCATATGTATGACACGTTTGGCTCGTTCTCGACCAAGATCTTGGCGCTACCAAAATCGCAGAGTTTCAGAATTCCCGTGTTAGGATCCAGCAGGAGATTTTGGGGTTTGATGTCACGATGGCAGATACCCTGGGAATGGATGTATGCAAGGGAGCGGAACAGTTGGTAAGTGTAAAGTTTGACCTCCAGCATGGGCATCGTAGTCTTCATCTTGCTGAAATATCGGGAGGCACGATATACGGTTTCAGGGACGTATTCAAGAACCAGGTTTAAGTAGACCTCGTCCTTCTAAAAGATCATGTGCAGGCGGGAATTTGTTAGACGGGGGATATTTGTAGAACATTTACGTTCGGTTATAATAGAAAGTTATGATGACCAATGGTATGACAAGGCATAACCAGAGGATGAGGAAGGAGAGGGCCTAACAACTTACTCGATCTCCATTGGAGTAGTAGAAAGCCTTCAGCTCGACGATGTTTGGATGGCGTACGATGCGCATAATCTGCAACTCACGATTCTACAGAGAAAGTTAGGTAAGTTAATTTCTGTAGTATATATATGGAATGGAGATTATGAAGAAGTAACCTAAACAAACCTTGAACCGTTTATCCTGAAGCACTCTCTTGATAGCAGCATCTTCTCCAGAAGGGGAGATTTTGGTTTGGAAGACAACACCGAAGGAGCCATTCCCCACAATTTTGCACTGGGTATACTGCATATCTCTAGTTTCCCCCGTCAACCCATCCTGCACCTTTTCGCGGACTACTTCTGTTGGGAGGGGAAAAAAGATGACCTGTCAGCAGAGTGTACACAAATAGACACTAGAGAAGTAAGAAAAGATGTAAACATACCCCCCATTCGTAAGCTGGAGAACACCCCGGGACGAGTTTGTGACATAGCTCGGTCTGGAATCCAGTGTCCGAGAGGATTTTCGTAGTTGGATATTCCGTTTGTTGTTCAGGCCTGCCGACGAGAATCAGGCGGATAATGGCTGAGCAAGGAGTTTCGGGATCTGTGGAGAGAGGCGAATGGGGATCCGTGTTTAAGGAAGAAGGTGATCAACTCCGATTCAGCGAAGATGGAAATTCTGTTTGCGGCTTGCGAAGGGTCAGAAGAACGAGTTCTGAAGAGCTGAAGATGTTGAAGAGGTTGGGAGGCTGAGAAGTTGATGGAGATAGGGCAATGTTTTGAGGGCTGAGGGTCGAGGGAGAATCAGACAAGCTCTAAGGAGTGGTGTTTGAGGAGGGGTGCAGAGGAACGCAGAGGAGTGTAGGAGGAACAGGGAAAGCAACAGGTGAGAAGTGAGCTGTGTTTTGTGTTGTGAGGTGTGAGTGTGTGTGTATGTGTGGATGTGGGGGTGGGTGTTAATGTGTGTGCGACTGTGTGTGCGTGTGTGGTTATGGCACAACCAGCAACAGGGAGATGCGAGAGCTATGGTATGTATTGCTAGGAGTATTTATTATGGAAAGGAGATGAAATAATACCTAGGTAGAAGGAGGAGAACCATAGAGAGAATAGAGGGAGATGGTGTTGTTAAGGTAGATTGTTAGGTTGTTAGGGGAGAGGAATCGTCGAGGTGACGTTGGGCCAGCAATGGCGGAGACACGGGACCAGCCAGGGAGACAGGGAGACCAGGTGAGACCAGAGAGAAGCTGGAGGGAACAGCCACCACCAAACAACAAGCGGGCGGTTGACAGCAATGGCAGTTGGGGTCGTAGCGGCAGCTGGGTCGCAACAGCAGTTGGGCAATGGGCACTGGGCAGCGGTGGCAGTAAGGCGCAGTAGGTACAGCAATAGTTTAACTGGCAGGACAACGACAGCGGGAGGTAGCGGATAGGATAGGATAGGAGAACAACTCGAGGAGTTTGAACGGGAGTGGGTGTGTTGGGAGTAGGAAAAGGGGAAAGTTGGTAGCGGGAAGGGCAAGAGAACAAGCGACAGAGACAGACAAGAGAGAGAGACACAAGACACAAGAGACAGAAGACAGGAGGGGAGACAGGAGCTTGCCCAGGTCGTGGGAATAGTGGAAATAGTGGTAACAAATAGTGGGAGCTGAGAGTGGTGTGGTCGTTTGTGTTCGTGAAAGTATAAGCAGGCTGAGAAGGAGTTGGGCTGCTGGGATGTGGCAGTTCAGAGCGAGTCAGCTGGCTGTTGCGGCCCGCTTTCTTTTTCTCTCGCATACAGTTAACTAACTTACAAGAGTACTGTTCCTCCGGTATTCGTAACTTCTGGTAATGTATCATCGTATTTTAATTATCTGACCCAGGGAAATAAATACTTGCAAATGAACAATAAAAACTCCTGCAAAAGCATCTACTTTTACTCTATATACATATACCATTATTCATTTCTAATTTTCTTCGCTGATAAAACTGAATCTAATCAGTTCCACTATGTTGTATCTGAACAGCAGCTAAAATTATCAGGCTTAAAACAAGGAACACTTTCATCAGTTTCCAACAGAACTACTAGGTAGGTACGTAGGTATAGTGGTACCGAGGAATCAGGCCGCGTATTGCCTACTGCCGCTAGTACCACTGTTTGTGCAGGTCACGCGGAAAGTGCGTGGCAACACTAGGGATATGTGTCGCTGGACTGCTGTATTTGATACGGCCTATTCTCCAACGCGTTGACGGTGGCGGCTAGCGGGTGGATCAGATTGTATGTCTCAAAGTTTGAATACTACAAACTGTTCGATATGGATATGGAGTAATCATTGGTTTTCAGTGAAAGAGGAGAACAGAGGAAGAAGGACAAGAAGAAAAAAAATATATACTCTTTGTTTCTGGCATTGATAGCTGCAGAAGAGTAACAGGGTCAATATCAACGCTTGAATTCCTCACTCTATCTTCCCCAGTATCTTCCCCAGGATTAACTCAATAATAAGTTTGTCTGAGAAAACAGAGAAGTGATCAAAATGTTCTGTGGCCTCAAAAAGCAAGACCCGACCTCACTAGTTAAGTGCTCCACCAGATCTTATTATATAAGCAACCTGCTGCAAGCCAAAGTACTTTTAAATAAATATAGTATAAAATAAATGTATATAAATAAAGTAACTATAATATTTATTAATAATATAATAATTAATCAATTATTATATAATTTTTATTTTAATTATATTATTATTATTATTAAATTTTATTTAATATTATAAAAATTTTTAATATTATTTATTTTAAATAAATAAATAAAATATAAATTTATATAATAATAAATAAATTAAATTTTTAAGAAATATTTATTATATAAAATAAAATTTTTTTATTAAAGTATAGAAAAATTAATTTTTTTATTTTAAAAATATTTTTTTTATTATAATATATTTTGAGTAATAAATAAAGATTAAAAAATTTATTTAATAATAAAAACTAAATTAAAAAAATATATAATATATAATAAATATATATTTAATAAATATTTAAATTAAAAATAGTTAATAATTAAATATAAAATAATTAAATAAAATTTTTATAATAAAAATAAAAAAATAAAAAAATAATAAAAAAATAATATATATTAAATTACTTTTTAAATAATTATAATTATTAATAATTTATCAGTTAAAACAGTATTAAATTATATATTATATAATATTAAAATTATGAGAATACTTAGAATAAATAAATTAAATATTAAAAAAAATTATAAAAAGCTCTATAATTAAAATTATAAAAAAATAAATATACATATGCTATAAGTACTATAAAGAAAAGAGAATAATAATAAATAATATATATATATATATATATAGAATTAAATAATAGCTAATTATTGAATTTATTAAAAAAACTTCAGAGATTTAAAGTATTTATATATATAAATAAATAAAAATAGATTTTATCTCTAATTTTTTATTTTATAAAAAACTAGTAATATAGTAATCTGATTCTTCATTAAGTACTGATTGTATTTTTTAGAAAATATTAATTCTAAAAAACTGAGTTTTGAGAAGTGCTGATCTATGCTGATTCTGAAATACTTTAATAAATAATATAAGAAGATGCTGATTATAAAATACTTTAATAAATAATATAATAAATAGTATCAAAGCAAGAAATTAGTATAAAAAGTCTTGATATCACAATTACTCTCTTCTTTCATAGATACTGACCTTAGCATTTCTAGAAGATGATTGTTTAAATATATATAAAGATATAAAATATTTATTAATATAAAAATATAAATATAAATATGAAGTATTTATTAATATAGAAAATAATATTTATAATATTTATTCAATAATATTGAAAAATTAATTATATGATATAATTATTATAAGAGTATTTCTTACTATAAAAATAAAGAGAAAAAATATCTTTTACTCTTTGAATTTTTCTCTCTTTGCAACTTTATAATTATAATTATTATAGATTTTTTATAGTTACTGCTATCTCTAATTTTAAAGTTTTTTTTTATTTTTTCTTATTTCTATCAATATAATAAAGTCAATTTCTGCATTTTTTGAGTAAATTTTTTTAATTTTAATGTATTTGATATTATCATATATATGATAACAATTAATAGTTGATGAATATATTGAGTTATAGTTTATAATTATTGATTATATTACTGACTTTGTCTTAAAAATACTCTGTAAGTGATGTTTACTCAAGTTAAGTAATTTATTTATGATGTGTGATTTTCTTTACTGTGAAAAGTACTGTAACTTTTACTATCTTATATATAAACTATGTATTTGAATAAGTATAGTACATCTTTAGCTGCTATGTTAGAAAGATCTTTGCACTACTAATATGATGACTAATTGTTATTTATCTAGCTTATTTTTTTTTCTGAGTTGAATTAACTACTTACTCTTTAAAACTCTTAATTCTTTATAAAATGAATGATATTAATAAAGATCTCATATTATTAGATTAATCTGCTATGTCTGATAGTAGTGTTAATAGCTTTTTTTTATACTGCTCATTCAATGAAAGCTCATATTATAATTATAATTAATGTTATCTATTATACTCAGTATCATAATAAGATTGCTAATGTGCTGATAGTATTCTCTAAGAATGAGAAATGAGAGAATATGAAGAATGAAGCTTTGTGTAAGATGAAAAACTTTAAATTGACTAAGAAGAAATATATTAAGTTTGAAAAAAAAAGAATTACTATTTCTGAATAGTATATATAACTATAATAATTGTGAATTAAAATTAAATCAAAGAGAACTAAAGATATATATCTAAGTATTTTAACTTATTCTTTTAATTCAGATAATAGTGAAATAAATTTTTTCTAAAGACTTGATAATTTTTAATATCTTACTTGTCTTATTAAAATTATATAATTAAAAAACTTACTTAAGAAAAAGAAGTAAAAGAGTATATGTATAAGAGAGAATTAGTGTTTAATACACTTTTCAGAGTGAGTTTGATATATTTATCACTGTAATTTCTGTTATTTAAAAATATTAAATATTATAATTTTTTAAATATTTTTAAAAATTTTTTATATATTATCAAAAGATTTATAACTTTTTCAATATATATAATATTATTTCTTATTCTAATATTTTTTTTCTTTAATATCATTCTAATTTAAAATTCTTTCTTATTATTCACTAGCTTTGATGCTAAAGATAAAGTAATATCATCTTATATTTTATAGAGTTCAAGTAATGAGATATAAAAAATAGAATGAATATTATATATTAAATATAAAAAAAGAGTTTATATATCTATATATTTTAAAATTCAATAATTTAAAAAAAATCAATAAATTTATAATTTAATTTTCTAGTGAGATATAGTATATGAAAGTTCTTCATATTAAAAAGTATTTTATACTATATTTAAAATTATAATATATCTTTTATACAGTTTTAATCTTCTTCAATTATTTTTAAATCTTCTTTTATATTATTTATATTTTTATGACTTAGTTAGTTGTCTCAATTGAGCTTGAATAAAATGAATTATTAACATTGATCCAGAGAGTAAATCTATAGTTAAGAAGTGTATAAGTTGAAAATTTTATTGATTAAACTATATTATAAATTATTATAGATAAACTACACTAAAGGCAGTTATTTATCTCAGTTATTCTGATGAAAATTTGTGAAATATCAAAGATAATAATCTAGTATCTGATTTTGATATTTAGTTTAATCATCTATCTATAAATAAAAAACTATAAATAGTATTTATTTGACTTTAAATAAATAATAAAGAGTTAATTAATATTAATTTATGAAAAAAACTTTTTTATCTAAAATATAATTCTTAAAGATATCAAAAATATTATAAGTATAATTATAAATAATATTTATAAGACCTTCTGTAATAATATTTTTTATATATAAAATATATATTACATATTTGATTAAAACATTAATTAAAATAAGAATTATATCATAAATCTTGTCTAATTAGATGATAACTGAGAGATTAGTGATAAAATTTATAGTGATAATTTAGTATAAATTAATTAATATTGAGATTGAGTCAAGTTCAATATATAAATTTATTTTTTATTAAAAGTTTATTAAATATTATATTATCTTGAAATAAAACTCTATAATTATATAATTTAAATACTATTTATTAGTTAAATTAGTAAAATAATTAAATTTTAATATAATTAGATAGATATTATAATTATTAACTGAATATATTTTAAATAAATAAATAAATAAATAAATAAATAATAATTTTAAAAATAAAAAATTAGATTTAATAAAATAAAAAATAATATTAAAGTTTATTTAATTTAATATTAAAAAATTAAAATATTTTATTTTAATAAATAAATTTAACTTTAATAAAAAATATTTAATATATAAAATAAAATAAAATAAAAATAAAAATTTTTAATAAAATATAATTTTTTTATAATATAATTAAAATTTAAATAAATATAATTTTTATAATTTAATTAAATTTTAAATTAAATTTTAATAAACTATTTATTATATAATAATATTATAAAAAATTAGTTAAAGAAATATTTTTTTAATTAATTATATATATTATTACTTTTTTCATTATTAATTTATTGTTAAATATTAAAATTATTAAAATTTTTTTCTAAATAATATAATTATTTCTTCTAATTAGTTACTCTATTTTTTTATTTTACTAATTAATTTTTATTTTTATCTATTTTATCTATTTTTATAAATTTTTATTAAATTATTATATATATATAATTATGATTTTTTTAATATATATATATATATATATTTAAATATTATATTATTCTGATATAAAATTATATAAGTATATATTTTAAACTGTGTATGTATATTAGATTTATAAGATAAAAATCTAGTATAATTAGATAAATATTATAGTTACTGATTATATACTCTCATTTAGTCCAGCCCAACGCACCAACCACACCACCGTGCACACGTGATCTCATCGTGATGCGTCCGCGCCTGTTTGCTCAAACTCCATTCATCCACTCCCTTTCTTCTTCCCCTTCTGCCTGCTTCCATGGCCACGATTTTGTATGATCATTCAGGCCCACCAGAAATGAGCCCCCTGGAACAGTCACTCTACTAACCCTTGCTCATCCGCCAATCTCCATCATGGCCTGATATAATGAGCGCCAGCCGGTCCTGATTCCGTCGAGGCACACCTCCATTTCATCCCCTCCATTGCTGTATCAACATCGAGAGTTTATACCCATCTGCACACTGGGCAAGCCTGCCCTTCCACGCGGCATAACACACCTGCTGGTCCCACTCCTCCCTCCTGCCTTCATCACTTCTTCCTCCCACCATCGTACCAAAACACCTTCAATCCGGGCCTCCACGGCGCGGCGAACATGCAGAAGCGCTGTCAAAGCCGGCCGACGTCTAGCAATGACAGTGACGCGACCGACAAACCATCCCCCTTGAATACGGACGGCGAGTCCGATTGAGGATTGGGGACAAATCTGACGGAACCCAATTCAGATTCACCTTGCGACAGACGCAAGGGCAAATGCAAGCATTGATGACTGCACTACAGGGCCAGCACACCAGTTGTCCCCAAGGGCGCAACAGCCTCTGCCACTGATGACTCGGATGATGATACTGACCCTGAGGATGATACGGATGATGAGGTCTCGTCAGAGGACGAGTTCGATGACTACTTCCCCTGCTCCAAGCTCCTCATCACTCGCATGGAGGTTCACTGGCAGCGGTCAGGCACTCTCCATCCCTTTCCCTCCGAATCCCAACCTTCCTGACTCCAATACTGACAGAGATCCGTCTCTAGATACTGTAGGAAGAAGGAAAAGCCGTCCGCAGACCCCAAGTGGCGGAGTCCGGTCGACACTCTCCGCGCGGCAGGGCGACGCAATCTGTACCTGTTCTTCAACTGGTGTTTCAAGCTGACGTCCGGGAAGGGTGGTCGTCGACTGAAGGGGACGACTAAGTCGAGCTCCCTGAGGGGCGACTGGAAGAACTTCCTGCGCTACTACGAGGGTGCCACTGACACCAAGATGGACCCGCGGCTGATGCGGCTGATGCGGAAGGTAAGTCCAACTCCCCGTCAGACGCCGATGGGCGAGGCTGATCGTCGTGGAAGAGCCTTCGACGGCTGGTCAAGAAACGCGGGCTAGATATGCAGGAGAAGACGCCGGTGTATGTCAAGGACATGGCCTCGCTCCAGGAAACCATCCTGCGGACGCAGGAGAAGAGATTCTGGCTCAGGCTGCAGCAAATGCAGATCTGCCTCTACAACCTGTTGGGCCTCTTCGCACTGAACTGGAAGAGTGCCCTCCTCTCTCTGTGATATAGGGACCTGCGGGTGTCACTCCAGCGGGACTCTAGCGGCGAGCCCAACCTCCCGACAGTGGAATTCAGCTACAAGTTTACAACAAAGAAGCACCTCGGCCTCACACAGACGCATGTACTGTCCGCTCTTATCCCCGGACATACACCCTGGCTGACATCTGACCAGGAACACGTTCATTCTGCCCGAGATCATCTACGACCCGTCGGCTGATCCTCAGTTCACATAACTTTCTTTTTGGCATCCTGTTCTTCTTCAGTGCCTTCAACGCCACCAACCTCACCTCGATGGAGAAGCTCGGAGGACTGATAATTGGAGGCGACTAACATCAGCCATTGATCCTGCTGAAATCAGAGATAGCCAACCACTATATCTTCTGCAGAATGGTGAAGGTGGACAGCAAGGTCCGCATCTTCCCTGAAGAACGGATGGACCCTTCCTCCTCCATCTGTACCATGGCCGAGATCGCCGGTGTTCTGCACCCCTGGTTCAACCATCACTGCCGGGATCCAGTATGGCGGGGGTCTGATTCTCAACAAGTGTGGTAAGAAGACGCCCTCATCTCTTTCCGTCCGGATAGACTGCCTGGGAAACAGAGGCGCTGACACGGAACCACGCAGGATTGGTCGGCGATGCCGAGCAGAATCTAGTGCCCCGCACGTTTCTGGAACACTCTATTTCGCGCACGGTGGGCATTAATTGAGCAATTATGTTGATCCCATATTAACACAAAATAGGGAATTCACAACTACGAGCCTCCAGGATGTTTCACGCATCCACTCATGCTGGTCCTCCCTTGTTTTATCTGCTGAGTCCTGTACTATGTCACTTTTGAGCTTTTAAAGGGCAGTCAATGTGTTTCATTTTCTATTTATCCGGCTGAGTGTTTTCAAAATAACTGTTCCAGCAACCTACATTGTGTCTGGGATCAGGTAATGGATATTCCGGGAATCACAATGTGTTAAATTTAAGTATGGGTTCACTATTTACTATTTAATGGATTTGACATTGCTATGTTCAAAAGGTATCAAAAAAATGGCGTATGCCTATGATGAGAGGTATCGCCTCGCACCAACAGAAGGGGTCCAGGAATGTTTCTTGGGAACCAAGCAGCAGCTCAAGAGCTCTTAGTGTTGCATCATTCATTTCTGCACCGCTGGCAGGCCCCATCTTTGCATCCACTCACATCCCACCACTTTCTCAATTGTGGCCCTTTTGCTTGGCTCAAGGACCAACATCGACTTCATCATGTCACAGAACGCATTCTCCTCCTCTGTTGAAAAGGTATCAAACCTCTTCCTCTCCCGTGGGTGCCGTATATATTCCGTGAACCGCTGGGTCCAGTCCCTGGTGCTGTTGCCATACCACTGACGAAGTGTTTCTTTCACATTCTTGTGTCCATCTTCAAACCAATTACTTCTTTCCTCCCACTTGCTCCACCACCGATCAGGAAGTTTACCAAGCATCTCAACATGCTCAATTGTAACCTCATCCAACGTGACAGGGAAAGCTTCAAAGGGGGGACCAGATCCAAAAACATCCCAGATACTGCATGCAAGCGTCCATATATCTCCGGGGAAAGAAAGATGATCATCTGATTCTCCAGGCTCTGCGAAGCGGGATTCCGGTGGTGCGAGCAAGAGCGGTGTATGAGCACTGAACGGTCGTGTCCCTTGAGGATCAAATGCTTCTCCAAAGTCTGCAATCATAATGGCAGAATCTGCCAGGGAAATCTCATCACTACTTAGTCCGAGCCAAACGGGGACAACAACTTCTGAAGGAACTCCTGGATCAAGTGGAGTGCCATCTTCACGAACAACATGCTCTTTTGCTGGTTCACCAGTTCTAGCATGCAGCTGCTCAAGAGTCATGTCTTGCATATCAAGTGGCAAGCGAAGAAGAATATTTGCAAGATGAAGATCTGTAGCCATGTTTAGATTGTAACCCATACTCCCTGAGTTAAATGATGAAAAGGGATTTTAGCAGGTCAAACATACCGCCATGAACAATACCTTGAGAATGGATGAATTGCAGACCCAGAATAAGTTGTGAGGTGATGGCACGAGCGGCAGGAAGATGAAGAAGTCGATGATATGCAGCCTCTTTTGCTTCATGGATATTGATTCTAGCAGCATCCATGACCAAACATCGATGAGTGCCATTTGGCCCAGAGAAGGTAAAAGAATCAAGCAGCTTCTGTACAACAGCCTTTCCGGGGAGCCTGGATTTAGCCCTAGCTAGCCACGAAAGAATCTGCATCTCATGTGTTAGCTCAGCCGATTCTGCTGTGGAGATCTTGAGGGCAACAAGTCGACTTTGCCTTCTATTCTCTGCCAGCCAGGTTGTGGCAGACCGGCTGAACCCAAGTTTATGAGCAATAACATATCGACCTGCACAAAATTCATCACCAATCATGACAGGATGGTAACCTCCGGGAACATAATAGTTCAAGCGCTCAACTTCTTCCACAAACTTGTACTTGACTCTGCTGGGTTCCATATGTGTTGCCATACTTCTGCATAGGTGTGAAATGGAGAGCTGTGTCTGTTGACAGGGTAGTCCAGCTACCAATGGTCTGATTCTGTGAAATTGCAAGAACGCATTGCTTGTTCAATTGACCATGATGCTAAGAAAGAGGCGTAGGTTATGGGGGGAGCAGTGCTGGGTTCCCAGGTAAGCCAGTGAACATAGCCAATCAGACACCTTCAAGCTCCAACAGGAACAACAATAATCTGTTATTGACTCAGTATCCAGATACGGAATGTCAATTCCACCGGAGTGTGAAGTTTCTTGTTTTCCAGAAGCAGGGAACATTCCACACCCATTATTGTGAACAGAATGCTATCACCGGATGATGAAAGTCAGCAGCCGCATGAAGGATTTGTCTTTTACCTCAGAGTATGCTCAGGCCAATTTGTTTCATCATTGCCCTGCAGCTTCAAGAACTGTCTAAACACCTTGAGTTCAGGTTGGTCTGGAGAACTTAAGCCACTCATTCATTTGCAGCCTTGGGGAGCAAGGATGTGGATCATTGTATCTGAGTTTCAAGAGGCATGATGGTGCATGCAGGCCTAGTGACATGCCGCTTGGCTCTGGCAAAAGGGTAGGAAATGTGGCCAAAATCTGCCCAACAATAGCATGGTTCACCATGGAAGCAAGGACCATGAGAAGAAGTGAGCAAGTGAACGACTAAGTCCTTGGTTGTGGTGGTGAGTCAGAATATATATGTAGGCTATGTCATCTCTGGTACTGGCAGGGAGTAGTGAAATCCTACCTCCCCTGTTGTTGCCTCTCCATATCACACCTTAGTCTCGCGTCATATCGACCCTGAATGCAGTAAAATTTTGTTTCTTGAACTGTCCTAATGCTCAAACCATTAGACAATACATAGCTATCGCATATCAAACAGCGACGGACCAAAATTTATATCCAAAGGCTGTGCTTATTCAGTGAGATTATCAAACGCAAGCAGGCATTATATGATGCCCACTGAGGAATCGCTAACCTTCAATAAACTGACAGCTCGGGCATTCACCCAACAACCACGATTGACAGCAAATATCAGAAGGATCCGAAGGGCAAGCACCTGACTCTGTGCTTCAAGGACGAAGAAATGCTGGCAAAAGGCACACACGTTGCAAGTCATGGATATGTGAACTCGAAAGCTGATTGGAATATTCGTGAAGCCCATCATTCTCCATAGAAGTTGGACTCGACAATCATGAAACGAAATGGGCGTCCTGTATGGCCATCTGGAGAGGCCTTTCAGTATGAAATTGAAGTGGATTTCGGCCACGTGCCGGATGAATCTGAGATTAGTTTGAAGGACAAGGGATCTGAACAGTAAAACCATGGAACTGAACTAGTGGACATGACATTTCTTTAGTTCTCATAAAATTGTCCAGTAGACCATTCGTACCTTTCCAAGTTTTAACAAGGAGGAACAATAATAAGGAAAGAATTAAAGAAAAGACCCCCTATATGCAAAAAATTTAATTACAATGGTCGTTTCTATTCATAGATTACCCACATATTACATAGCATATGGACATTCTTCCGCCCCAGGTCATTTTTAACCAAGGCCTGTAATGATTGCAACCAAACTCCTACGGACCAGTCTGCGGCAGTTGCTAAAAGATAGACTTGCTATGATGGTGTGCTGGGGGCTCAGGCCATGCAACATATTCAGTCATATGGAAATGGCGAGTCAGCCTATGACAGCAACACATAGTTATAAGTACCATAGCATCAACATATCAAGACGGCTAACTAAAGCTGTACATGTCCCATCCAATCAAGTTGATTTCTTAGTCATTCCACCTCTTCTAGGTGACACAAGACATTACTGGGATAAACAGAAGAAAAAGTGTTCAAAAGCTTGTCAGAAATAGTTATCCTTCAGAGCCGCAGTATCAATGCCAACTTCCGTGTTAAGAGTGTTAACTTCCAAAGCCCGGGCGTCATCAAATGCCACAAAATAGAAGAAGCCCAATGTAACTAAGCCACACCCACTGAATATTCCTTGGCCTTCTCTAGTTGGAGAATTTTGTCAAACTCGAGTATGCCTCGAAAAAGCTCCATTTGTATTGAACGGGTAACAGAGCAGCACTGAATTTCGCCATCCTCACCGATGAAAGGGACTCGGGCCAACGTCTTTAGTAAGACCAAGAGCATCAGTGAAGGCTGACAAACATGCATGATACCTTTCAGCATCATGCTCGAGAAACTGGCAAACGTCATGAACAATCCTTCTCAGGGTTGTGCAAGGTATCTTGGCCATACAAGCCAGGAATGCATCCAAGGTCCTGTGAAGTATTAACCCATGAATCCACGACTCTCGCTGGATCGATTGACAATCTTCGACCAGAAACGCAATAATCACACGCCGTAGAGATGCAGGGTGTAGTTATTTGGACTAGTTATAGACGGCTCCCTGGGTGACGACGGATGGAAATCCAGAGCCAAAGCGTATCTGAATGTTCATCGTGCCGTCTTCAATATTGCTATGGATTATTTCTTCCGAGACCTTGTTAATAGTTACTGCGTTTTAGTCTCTTGAAGGTAGAGAATCTCAGAAAGCCATAGGCGTAGTCCTCTTGTCCATAAGCTATCAACCCATCGAGTATGATTTTTGCTGCTAATCTACATTTCTCGGCCCTATCTTCCTTGAAATTTTGAAGTTGAAGCTACTTCGGTGAATAAGTTCTGATGCAGGTCCCTCAAAACAATGTTCGCATCTGGCAATGTCAGCTAATGGTTAAAAAATTTAATAAAGAACACATTAGTTAAATCACAAACCCAAAACATAGGAGCCAGCTCGAATATAATAGCTGAGCCAGCTTCTTTGCATCAACTTAGTATAGCTGTTACCCTGTCGCCAACATAGTTTCACTTTCTCAAAATCACAACCCCATTCTTCAGCAATCAATTTGTATGCGTCAGTTATGTGTTTGTTCCCACTCGCAAAGTCCACTAATGCCAAGGACTTATACTCATTCTCATGGACTGAATAGATTAATGAAAGGCGCGCGCTGTGCAAAAACATTGTTGGTCATATTTTCTTCTGTGTTTGTTATAAATTTATACAAGCGTCGTCCAGGTGTTGAAAGTGACCGGTAAATGAGACCTTCAGTAGGTCACAAAATCTCTTTGCATGAGGTTGTTGGCAAAGGTTCATCTTTGTAGGCCGTTTTTAATTCTATCCATTGGCAGATTACAGGCGATTTCCGTTGTTTATCCGTATCGACGTTTCTTCGTCTTTTCTTGGGGGAAGGTGTTGAAGCTCATGTGAACTGTTTGAAGGCGGTAGTAGAATATTATTCTGGTTCATCCCAACCCCTGGGTTGGAAGCGATCTTCTTCCATGCATGCACGATTCTGGCACCGGTGCCTCGTTGATGACCCGGGAAAATTATACACAACTCGAAATATCAAGGCGCGGGCTGCCAAAAAATGGAATGGCTAGATTGTTTCCCTTTTTGGCCGCTTATCTGCAAGCACAAAAGGATAAAGTATTTCATCTTTCCTAGAGGCTTTTCAGTTAAGCCCTCATCTATATCGCACATATGAATGCACAAGCACAGCAGTGCGCCGCTAGGACGTTCATGCGTTCAATACGATGGATGTGGGAAAGACTACAAATTGGTGTATCCTCTGAGAGGGCATCAATTGAGTCGTTGCACATTATACTTCCCCCTCTATTGATTCACTATGTTTGCTGACATTAGCAATAAGACAACTCAAAGGACATCTATCACTGCGACGTCCTTGAATGCCCTCACTCATTTGTTCGGCGAGACCGATGGCGCCGTCATCAGAGACTTCACCTAACTCTCAACCAGAAACCAATGGCATCTGAACCACTGGTACCAGCTCTTGAAGGACTCCCAGATGTCCCTAAGTTTGACCAGTTTGTGGGAAGATAATAATGACTATACCTGTACCAACTCAACTCTGGGAGAGGTTTCTACGGGTCTATTATGTATATCCAGGATTTGGCCGATGGACTTAGAGATAGAGCTACAATATCAACAAGGTGCTGATGGGATGTGACATAGTTTTAACTCCTAAACTAGTTAGTTAAGGATTTCGGTATTGCTGATTCAGCAGCTTGTTCGGCGTTGAGCGAGTTATCTCTTAGAGGACCGTTATCAACCTTGTTGCATTGTGTGACTCTAAGCGAGCTAGCTAGCTACTAATAAATACATAGGTGCACATGACCTCGGGTAGCCGGGGAATCCTCCAACACCTCCCCATGCCATGGTGAGCCCGAGCTCTGCCCTATCCCCTAGCTGCTGAATGCCCTCAAATCCGCAATAAAATTAAATACAGGAATCAGATGCTATTTCCCTATTAGGAAAAGCTCTATTATGTCTCTGTACTGTAACTTTGCAAAGAAAGTACACAATTATTCCCCTAATCTGTATTCTCATTACACCTCCTTAGGGGCTGCAAAACAGTGTAAAAATCAATCATCCTCATCAATGAGACCAGACCTCTGTCAATCCTATTTTCTCCACAAATTCATTGTAAGCTGGCTTTGGCAGAGGCTTTGTAAATCCATCTGCTTTATTCACTGTAGAATCTATGTGCAAGAACTTCACCTCTCCCTTCTCAACTAGGTCATGAAGTATATAGTAATAAATCTCTATATGACAGGATCTCTTTGTCAAGGACTCCTTCTTTGCTAGATCAATTGCACCTTTATTATCCACCTGCAATGTTGTGCAGATCTTTGACTTCCCTTCCATCAGGCCTGCATTTTGCAGCATATCATTCAACCAAATAAGCTCATACACAGTCTCACTAGTGGTGATATATTTTGCTTCTGTTATTGATTTTGCAGTTGATGTTTGACATTATGAGTGTCATGATATTGAGGATTTATTTATTATGATGATGTAGCCAGATGTTGATTTATATTGAGGGTCTGCATCTGCTCAATCTGAATCACAATAAGCAACTGACTATAAGTTTCTATCATCTTCTTCATTTTTATAAACTATCTCCAGG